TGGGCGGGTGGGGGGGTGGGGGGGCTTGCGGCGTTGCGTGTGGGGAGGGGGGGGAGAAGAGGGGAGGGGGGGAGAGGTTGGTGGGTATACATGTCTTTCCCCTTCCTCATCCGTACGTCTCCACCTCCACCACCACCACCACTCGGCTGCCTAACTGTATCCCCCATACCCCAGGTGCAAGTTCTCCCCCCACATACACACACACGACTCGGCGTCCATGTCGTCTTTTCCCCGCCCGCTTCACACACATAGTATACACACGCACACGTACACGGGCCATACGTACATACATACACACACGTTTCCCCGCCGCACTCGTGTTTTCCCCCCTTGTTGCCAGGTACTCCCCTCCCGAGCAGGCCCTGCTGTTGGCCTGGGCCACCGCCGTGAAGAAGGGCAGCAGCGCGGATGAGCTCCAGGGGTGGCAGATGGCGCCCTGGGTGGAGGCGGTGCTGGGGCAGCCCCGGGGGGTGTTCATGACGCTGGCAGCGGCCAAACTGAATAAGGTACGACAGCGACAGGTAGCTGGGGGCCGCCGAGGTGGGGGGGTGCCACAGGGGGGTGCCACAGGGGGGTGCCACAGGGGCCCGGCGGCGTCTGAAGAGCATCTCAACCTCATGTCCCTTGGCCTCCTCCTCCTCCTCATCATCATCATCCGCTTCGTTCTTATCCCAACCCCATCCCCCAAGAATCTCACCACCACCACCTCCACCACCTCCACCACCTCCACCACCACCACTCCAACCGCCGCATGTTGTCGGTCCTCCCCCCCTGCCCCCGTCATGCCATGTCACGTCCCACCATGTCGCCCCTCAGACCCGGCATGAGAGAACCCGGGGTCGAACCAAGGAGAGAGCGCTTCTGCAAATGGATCAACTCACGGAGGCTGTTACGGGGCTGCCGCCGCCGCCGCCGCCAGCGGCAGCGGCAGAGGTGGCGGCGGCCGACGGCAGTACCAGGGAGTTGGAGGAGCCTGAGTCGTCCTCCTCCTCAGCCCCCGCCGCCTCGGGGGGGTCCGCCGCCACCGCCAGCGCTGCGGTGGATGCGACGGCTGCATCTGCTGGAGCGGTTTCGGAGGCGGCGGCGGCGGTCTCCGGGCGACGTGCCGTACTGAGCTGGGCGGTTTGGTTTCCGCTGCAGGTTGGCGTCATAAGGGCGGGAGGTGTGACTTGCTTGGCTGGCTGGTGCTGGCCTCTAGGGTTTTGTGTGAGGGGGTCCGCGGGGGAGGGGTTGAGATGCTAGACAGGGCAGCAGGCGACGGGTCGCGTATAGGGCCCTCTGTACCTCTCTTCCTCTGTACCGCTCTCCTCGGGTTACCACCCCCTTCCCGCACCTCCCCTTCCATTTCTGAGTAGTCTGCTTTTAGACCTCCCGGGCGGTTTGGACTCATGTTTGGGTTACAACCCTTCCGCGGCGTCCGCGTGCGAATCCCGAGAAATCTCCAGCTCAGCTCAGCTAAGCTCCGTACATCTCCCCTAGCCGACCTCTCCACACACCCGTCCTCCTCCCCCTCCTACTGGTCAGTTCTGCTTCTTGTACACCCTTTCCTTGGCAGCAGCTTCACTCGTTCACGTGGTTCGTCTTTACCCCCTCCCCCCCACACACACATACATACACGCACACACAGGTCAAGCTGAAGCGGGAGGCGGCCGAGCACTACGTGTCCATGGGCCTAGTGGGTAAGTCGTTATAAAACCCCACTAAACCGTTACCCACAAACCACTGCCGTACAGATTATAACGGCTCGCAACACAGGCAGCTTCGCTAGTAGCCGCGTTCCCCGGCGCTCCGGTACATGTCGTGTGCATGTGTCCGAAACCACTTTCCCTCCGTGCCTACCATCTTGAGATCACGCTCCGAAACCTAACGAAGCCCCAACCCCCCACCGGCGCGCGGCCCGTCTCCCCCTCTCGACTCCCTCTCCCCCTCCCCCGGCCCCTGCCAGGTGCCGCCATCCAGGTGTTTGAGTCCGTGGAGCTGTGGGACAGCGCCATCACCTGCTACCGGCTTATTGGCAAGAAGGCGCTTGCGGAGGAGCTGATTAAGAGGAGGTGTGAGGGGGACGGGAAGGGGGGAGAGAGGTGCTTTCCACGCGCGCAAATAAATTGTCTTACGCCCTTGTCTTGTCTTGTCTTGTCGTGCGGCCTAACCCCGCACTGTGTGAAATGTGGCGCAGGCTGGGTACGACACCGGACGATCCGAGGCTGTGGTGCGCGCTGGGCGACTTGCACCTGGACGACAGGTATACGGCAACCGTACGGCACAGTGTATCTGTCTGTCTGTCTGTCCCCCACTGTCTATCTGTCTGTCTATCTGTCCCCCACTGTCTATCTGTCTGTCTGTCCCCCACTGTCTATCTGTCTTGTCTATCTGCCCCCCACTGTCTATCTGTCTGTCTATCTGTCCCCCACTGTCTATCTGTCTGTCTGTCTGTCCCCCACCCGCCTCTTATCTACACACACACAACGGATTCACGTGTGCAGGTATTATGAGGAGGCGTGGAGGCGCTCCGGCCATCGCCACACTCGCAGCCAGCGCAGCCTGGCGCGGAGCGCGATGGGGAGGAAGTGGGTAGGGAAGCGGGCCGATTGGCTGGGGGGTTGGTTGGTTGGTTGGTTGGTTGGTAGGTTGGTAGGTTGGTTGGTTACCTGCTTTGGACATTGGGCAGACCTCAGCATCCCCTGAACATCCTCATCCCCTGACACCCGCACCCCCTTCCCAATGCAGTCAATGATGTCCCCAATTTCACGTTTTTGCCACCCTCCTGACGGCATCTGAATCTCCCCCTCTTTCCCCTCTTTCCCCTCTTTCCCCTCTTTCCCCTCTTTCCCCTCTTTCCCCTCTTTCCCCTCTTTCCCCTCTTTCCCCTCTTTCCCCTCTTTCCCCTCTTTCCCCTCTTTCCCCTCTTTCCCCTCTTTCCCCTCTTTCCCCTCTTTCCCCTCTTTCCCCTCTTCCCCCTCTTCCCCCGCTTCCCCCTCTTTCCCCTCTTTCCCCTCTTTCCCCTCTTTCCCCTCTTTCCCCTCTTTCCCCTCTTTCCCCTCTTT